CGCCTTCAAGTTCAAACGGCCGCCTGATAGTTCGAACTGTCGTCTGCTCTTTCAAACGTTTCTGCTTGTCGTCTGCTCCTTTAGACGACACCGGCCCGTAGACCATGCAAATTTTGGGCCGGTACCTGCGCGATAAGAAGTAAGTGCAGGCTCGAAAGACTTAATTTGAAGGTTGGTAAGCAGGCTCGATGTAAACAGTAGATACAAAAAGATGTTGATCATTGTTACCAGTGACCATCACCGACTTGTTATGCCTAAATCCCTTGGTCCGATTCTGCTTGCGATTTTGAGTACCGACGTCGACTATCTCAGCTACGGTTCACGTGTTTGCATCGCATCATGCGAATCGGGCTTTAGCGTGCATACTGCGGCGTCCACGCGGAATGAAGCGCCACAGGACACATTATTCACGCGAAGTTTCGCGGTGTAACGAGCCTCGGTAATTTCGCTGACGCCTCTCAAGTAGTCAGACATCGCAAGGAAGACGTAGGATCAACAATTCGAATGCGAAAAAGGGCAGGGTGGCTCACACCGACGCCGACAACATCGCATTTCAATGGTTTGTTTATGAGCGATGGCCAGCTTCTTGCCCACACCCCCATCGCGCATGCGCGGCGCCGGTGGCGTCCGCCAGGGGCGCTCCGGTTTGTTTGTAAACATGAGTTGGTGTATATGTACGTTCACCCTTATCACACACGTGTGAACGCGCAGGCACACGCAACGCTATCCAAAGCCGGAGGGGGATCGGTGGCCATGTGGGCTACCCGTCTCAGTTCGGAACGTGGAGCGAAAGCTTGCGCTGCAGAACCTCCTGGGCTCGATCTCCACTCTCTGTCCGTTTCGATCTGGATGAGCTTCGTACAGGCACGCGTTCGTGTAATCACTACTGCGTGATGCACGTTAAAAACCCTTAGCGGTTGTACTGCACTGGCTAAATTTCTCATCTATGCAGCTAAGAGACAGGTCACCCGTGGAAGCGTGCTAGCATCAGATCTGTATAACCATACAAGCAACACATCTTTTTTTTTTTTTTTAGCCAAGGCCCGGGGGGGTGGGACGAGCGGGAAGCGGTCGCCGGGACAACTGGACTTGGTGCACGTTCGGACTTGAGATTAAAATGAATTTTCCTCGAGCGAAGCGGAGTGAGGTATGGCTGCGCGTAGCGCGGTCTGTTTGAAAGTCTAGCTTCGAACACCCAGGACAGGCTCGGTCGAACTGCTACTCCGTGCAGACGCGTCCGCACGGAACAGCCGATGCCACTTGGCGTCGGCTGGATTCATACGCATCATTCGCGTGTGCGTAGATCTATCCAGAAGACGCTTCGTTACCATGGTGACCATACCAAACGAACTTTATCGTGCAGAAGATGACGGAGGTTTGGTGAGGGGCGGATTTAGTGTGTGTGGGAGGGGAGGGGGACTGCTTTTCCTAAGCCTTCCAAGGTCAAAATTAGTTTAATTAAAAAGTGGATATGCGCAATTCATGTAGTTGAAGAAACCTGAGTCAAAATACAAAGAAGGTATGTGACCGTTCAACGCACTTGCCACTGGTCAACACATGCTGTGTTCCAAATCTTACTCACATGAATCCGAGTTACCACGGCAGGTCCTGTCACGTGACAACACAGATCGAAAAACGCTGGACGCGGGTAGGTTTTAGAACGCCAAGGGTACAAAACCCTTACACTTTAGTAAGATCGAGTAAATTTTGGAAAACGGCCATGGTAACGTTTGTCGCTGCAGCGCGAGTGAAGCCACCGGACGGACATCTTGCACGTAGACCTTATAAGGTTGTGCTAGCGTTGCAGAGGCTGCCGGCAGCATGCTGAAGACACGTTTTCTGCTTGTTCGTCGTCATTCGCCTAAAAAAGATTTTTGAGACCGTGTAAGCGTTGAGACTTGCCGTTGTGAATACGTGGAAAATTTTACGAAAGCGCAGTGCCGCAGGAAAAAGGCACAACTCGTCGAAAGCAAGTTCCGCCGGTCTCGCGGCATGATTAAAGCTTCCTTAGCACGCCGAAGTGCTGCGTCTTTGTGCCTTCACACGCTTAAATGTAAGAGTCAAAGTAAGAGTCGAAAGTAAAAGTCGAATTATTTCTATAGTTATGAGAGGATTTCTGAACTCGTGAAGTTAGACTCGTTGCACAACAGGAGAACAATTCATTGACTGACATATTTGTGTAAGATTGTAAATGTTATAATTGATTCACCAGAGCTACTCAGTCATATCTACTTGCACGTTCCTTGTAGGTCTAGAAGACTTTATACTTTGTTTTACCGTGCTGATTTTTACCATGCTGCACCCATGACACACCTACAACTGACGTATAACCATTTAGAACAGATTTGTGGGAATGTTCGTCTTGATATTTTTGATGAAGAGCGTAAATTTCGAAAGTGTGTTGAGACTATTGTTGTGTCCTAACATTTCGTTTTATCCTGTTTAAAAATTTACTACTAATTGACTCATTGATAAGTGCATCACTAAGGAGGCGTAAGGCTGTTGGTGGGTAACTCAAAAACAAAACAGAAAAAAAAAAAAAAAATAAAGACGTTTACAATTCCCTGTAACGCCGAATTAGAGCCCAGCTTTTGAGGAGGAGGAGGGTAAGGTACGGAGAGGTGGTTATGTCCCTTCTCCTCTCCTCCAATTTAGGGGAAAATTTGCTGCTAAATTTAGCGGGCAGATTTACCCATAATGCACCGCGCGGTTACGTCGACGCCGACACCGACGCCGCTCAAGCCGGAAACGGGCGCCTAAGAGCTGCGCTCTAAAACAAAACAAAACCAAAAACAGACAGGGACAGATATCTACAATCAACGGCTGTACGAAACGCAAGAGAAAACCACCCCTTTGTGCACTTTAACTTATCTCAACAAAAGCCCATTCACTCTGGGTTTGTCAATCATGATCTATAAGCAACGAAAGTCTATATGAATAATTGCATCCCTTGTTCACGCCTCATCAACAGCGCCCGAAACATCGCGACCGCCAAGGTGATCGCACAGACTCGCCGACTACAGGTGCTACAGGGCCGCGTGCATGCGTCGGTGCGGATCGTGGATTAGCTTCGATAAGACCCCGCAGCTAATCGGGCCGGACTCGCGACCGGCTTATAAATGTATTGTTTTCAGATTTCTCTAACTGTTAGTCTTGTTTTATGTAAGAAATTCTAGAATCGCTTACGTAAACGGAAACTTTTAACCTGCCTGAACCGCCCCAGTAGCCAAAAACTCTAGTGAACTGTAACACAATCGCATCTTTCAGGAAAGATGTGGTTGTGTCGTCTTCGTCTTACATTTTTATTCTTTCTTCAATCTTGAACTGCTTGTTTTGTTCTAATATTTTCAATAACAAAAACATTTTTTATGTATATTTAATTTTTATCATTGGATGCCTCGGGACTGAATAATTAAGTTCTTGATGTCATTGTATTGCACACTGATCTCTATCGCGTTTGCCCGCTCCGCGAATGCGGTCACTGGCGGCCATCTTTAGGTAGAGTTATATCACCTCTAGCCGATGTAAGCTGCTGCAGCCGCTGTCATCCATCCATGGTTTTGGCAGGTGAGTTGGAAGGCAGCGGTCAAATTAGCGTGGGTGATATTGCGTGCTTGATTAAAATTATTTGACGAAACATGTTTTTGAAACCCGGCGTGAACAGTAGTTCGGTTTTTTAGGACTTGGTAAAAGTTTCACGAAATCGCAGCACCGGGAGAAAAGCTGCACAGCACGTATCAAAAGTCGCATCAAAAGAAGCATCGAAAGCAGACGACGGTACGGAGTCTGCTTTTGATGCGAGCTGCGCTGCTTTCCCCCGGTGCTGCGCTTTCGTAGAACTTTTGCCGGGTCCTCAAAGATGAGGCTACCGTTCACGCCGGGTTTCAAGAATCTGCTTCGTCGAAAAACTTCAATCAAGCACGAAATGTCACCCACGGTACAGTGTACTAGATCTACGGCTATTTTTAGGGCAGCCTGCCGCCATTGCGCTGTCCGCCATATTACTATGATGGCTAGAGATGATATAACTCTACCTAAAGATGGCCGCCAGTGACCGCATTCCGGTCCATAGGAGGAGCTGGTCAAACGCGATCCAGCAAATAGACATAGAGATCAGTGGTATTGCAAGCGTTTTAAAAGAATTGAAAGAAAAGATCGTCCACTTCTTTCCTTCGTCCGAGCAACATTGGCGCTGTTTCAAGATGAAAAAAGGGAAAAAAGTTTCGGTTTCTTCGAAGTTGTGTGAGTGCGCGAGCCATTCGTTGGATGGCGCCACCATCCCGCTCGCCACACTGGAGAGCCTGCATCACAGAGTTTCCAACTGCTCGATTTGGGTCACGTGGTTCATAAGTCGAGCTGTGAGATCCGCAAACATTTTCGCCTTTCCGCCTGTCTTCCTCGCAGCTCAAAAAACACAGTGGATGCGCTCTTGCAACCAATCTCCGCATGAGGCGCCCACCATTAAATTGCAAGCATTCCCTGTGGTGTCTGGGGTTTGAGACGTTTCAGATCTTTCAGATAATTTGTTTGAGATGAACCCTCTCTTCAATCTACGCTCTCTACACCACACGCTAAAGCCTAGCCAAGTCACAGATCACAACACCACCAACGTCGGGAACGATTTTTTTTAAATATATTTTTAATAAAATGTACTTAAAATGAAAGTACTTTTATTTTTAGTTTAACAAATAAAAGAATTTCTAGTTAACGTTTAGGCCGTGAGGCGGCGCACGCTGTACTATTGGTTCTAGATACAAAAAGTGCCATGCTCAGCCTCACTCTATTACTGGCCCACCAAAATAGAAACCCTGGTTTTCTCCAAACGTTGTCGCCAGCAGCTCGCAGCGCCAACTATAATTGACGTTGCGGCTTGTCTTAACAACAACCGTTCAAAGCGAGACCGCGCTTTACTACTGCGGCAGCGCTACAATCAGACATTGATAAATTTGAGGAAAGAGGCGATCAGCTCGCACAAGCACCTTCTTCTGTGAGATCAACGGTCCAACTATCAGTTAGTTTTGAATCGGGCCAAGCTGCTTGTTTGGCGGAGGTTGACCAGTAGTACATTGTTTCGTTATCCCATGTGTTCAGACTCGTACCTCCCGGGTTTGCTATTCGAGGGGAGTGTCAAGAATGTCATGGGTCCGGGACATGATGACGGCGTAGAAGTGCTTCATCTCGCGGCTGCTTCAAGTGAACTTCACCCATGGAGGTTTCTTGGCGGCTTGTTCGCTGCGGCAAAAACGTGCCGAAAGCCAAGAGCGTGATTCTTCTGGAAGACAGGGAAGTGGTGATAGGACGCAACGTTGCCCAGAAGTACCGGGTCGACAACGCCAACGTGAGTCGAAACCATGCCCGCCTGAAGCTCGACGCCGAAGGACGATGGAGCATCGAGGACCTCCGAAGCCACAACGGCGTCTTCGTGAACGGCGAGAAGATTCCTGCTCTGCGTCCTCTGGTTATTTTAGAGAACGACTTGATAGGCCTAGGGAGGCCGGCACCGACAGGAGACGACGTTTACGTGTTCAGGCTTGTAAAATCGGGCGAGGATTCGAAAGTGTCAGCGCGCGTGGAACCGCTCGCTGTGACCGTGGACGACGACGACGACGACGACGACGTTCAAATCACGGCCGTCATCAACCTTCCGGCTGCGTCCGCTTCGCACTCCAGACCACCTGCTGGTTCTGTTCGGAACACAGAGAGTGAGCAGGCCAGGCTTCGAGCAGGTGCTAGTTTGACAGCCAAGCTAACCAAACGAACTACAGAAAGGAATCTCGTTCGCTCTAGCTTCACAAATGGAACTGTGTCTCAGATACAGGAGCTGTCACCTCAGGCATTAATACCCTGCAAACAAGAACCTTTGGTTGCCACGGTGAAAGCGGAAGCAGAGGACTTGCTTTCCAGCAATGCATCATCCTCAGAACCGGTTAGAGTTTGCAGTCCCATTCCTAAGCAGAACTGTGCCGTTTCAACTGCTGCTGTGCTCAAAGCAGCACGATCCGAGACCGCCTTAACAACTAAATCTGGTCCCAACAAAATGGGCAGTGTCATCGTGAAGACTGAACACCAGGACACAGTTTGGGTGTCTACAGACGACTCGTGTGGCAGTCATTCTAGTTTGGAAACGTGTAGTGGCATTGGCGCACCGAGCCCCATGCAAGCTCTGAACACTTCTGTGCCCCTGCAGGGGGCTGGAAACCAGTTTTCTGTTGTGAAGACTGAGCCTCAGACCTATGAAGTCCCTCCAGTTAGTGCCCCGAAGAGTCGACGGAGTGAATCTACATCAGCCTTTGCGCATGGCAGGCAGCTGAACTGTGCGGATGGAAATTCACCTGTTCTTCCTAACCCCCTGCCAGACATAGTTATAAAAACAGAACCTCTCCTTCCTTCCAGTGCTGTGAAAACAGAACCAGCATTGGAATTACTAAAAGAACCAAGCCACCTCTCTAATAGAGGAAGTGTTGGTGGCTCTTCCAGCCCATCTTGTTCTGCTGAAGAGTTGATGCCCCATCAGCAGACACTTGCCGAAGTAGGCGCACGGGGATCTAATGTTCATACTGCGGACAGGCCAAAGTGCAAAGAACCGCTGACAAGCATTGGGCCAAGGGTTACTGTCGGCAATACTGCCACTGGTATTGAGACAAGGGACATTGCAAGCACTTCTACCAACTCCTTGCTTTTGACAAAGGTTGCCTCTCTGCAACACCTGCCAGAAGTTTTGCATCCACACAATGTGCAAAAGCACATCAAGACTGAGAATGGCAAAACAGTGAAGTTGAAAACAGAGTCTGCCGAGATGGAAGTTTGCACTAGGAAAACCGCTCCATCCTCTGAAGATGGTGAATATTCTGTGGGCTATAAGCAGAACAGGTCAGAATCTTGTGTGTCTGAAGCTTTTCCTTTGTTCAGGAATTGCAGTGTCGTCCTTGAACGACTTGAAACAACACTATTGAAGCCAGTCTCCTCTCCAAGGTTGATTCAGCAAGGTGGCCAAGATGTTGATGAAGAAGGCCAGAATTTTGAGGACGTCGATGCTGGCTCAAAACAAGACGTAGAAGGTGCTGCAACCTTTATGTTCTCTCAGGAAGATGAAATTATTATTCTTTCAGATGATGAGGATGATACCTGCTACACATTAGAGTGCCAGGTCAAGAAAGAACCAGAAGATGACATTAACCTTAAGGAGGTGGACAATCATACCTTTGAGGATGTTGATCCTGATGAACCCGGGTGGTTGGATTTCGAGGAGTCTGCAGCAGGGGCCACTAAGAATGAAGAGGTAGGAGTCGGATTGCCAGAAGATGAAGATTTAGAACGCAGGTTAGTATGGAACGAGGAAGACTTTGAGGAAAGTGACACTGAAGATGCTGGAGAAGGTGTCGGAGACCAGCAAAGACGTGTCGAAAGCCAAAAGCATGATTCTTCTGGGAGGCAGGGAAGTGGCGATAGGGTGCAACGTTGCCCAGAAGTACCGGTGCAGGCCAAGAATGCACAAGAGTACACCCCTGTTAATAGAAATGACTCGGATGTTCTTGCAAAAAAGCATACTTTCAGTGCTCCAACTTGCAGTGCGTTCCTTCACAGGTTGAAGAGTGGTGACAACTTGAACAGAAGTCCAAAGAAGAAAGGCAGTCTTAAGGAGAAAATGATGCGATCGATGAACCATAGGGTCCCTATGGCAGGAGGAGGCTCTGCTATTAGGAAGAGGGAAGCTCATCAGCCTAGGAAATCAAGTGTGCATGATGCAAAGCATAATGCTCGTGGGAAGGCTGTTGACAGCAAACAGGATGGGCTTCAGATCCCAGAGGAAGAGTTTTTTCCTGATTTGTCACAGAACTTTTATGAAGACTGTACAGTTTCAAAGCCTGTTGATAAAAAGAGTGATTCTTTTCAAGAGGCCTCTTCTTCCACCAAAAGTAGTTTCAAGAATCATAGGATCCCAGTGGCAGGAGGACGTTCAGCTGTCGAAAAGGGGGAAGCTCAAGAGCCTCGGATTCCTGAAGGCAAGGCCAGTACTGCTGAAGAATTGCCGAAGAAGCCCCATTATAAAAGCAGGTTTCAGTCCAGAACATTGCACTTGCTGGACCAGGAACAGAGTATCGCTGCTGCCATGAACATCAACAAGAAGTCTTCCAAAAGAAGAGCCCCCTCTCCTCTAACTGCACCAGCCAAGAGGTCCAAAGCCACCCACGCAGTTGTGGAACACCCTCCTAAAGCTGTAAGCGCATCTTCCCAAGCGCGAGCGGCAATTCATAACAAGTCACCTGGTACAACAGAAGTTTTGGCAAGTCCGGACTCTTCCGTCTCTCCAGTTCTAAGCTTTAAACAGTCTCGAAGAGTTTCTAGGGTGGGTGCTGGAAGCCAAGGGCCTACTACTTCAGAAGCAGAGGCCAAGGTACAAGTGAAGGAGGTCACAACTTCCAGCCAGGATCTGAATTGCACCCATCATAACACTGAGGAAGTAACAAAGAGAACTGTGGTGTCGTTCATCGAGTTGCAGCCAAGCACCAGGACTGACCAAGAAAGGGCAGAGTTTTCAGAACGTGTCAAAGCTTCGCTCAGGAAGAGAAAGCTGGTGAACTCTCTGAAATCCAAAGTGAATATGAATACTTTCATTAACTTTCTGCTTAGCTGGAAAATACAGTGGCTAAAAGAACAGATGAATGCTGCCACGCTCCCACCCATCCTGGACATGGAAAAGGTCCGTGCAAAGCGCAACATGTACAGTTCCATGGATGAGTACAAAATGATCCACTATCATTTTCTGTGCCTTGAAATATGGGAGGATGTCTTCAAGAAATGGCGAGATTACTTCTCCCGCACAACACACTTGACCTTCCAATCAGTCATCACTCATCATGAGTGTCCTCTTGGCGACGTGATGATCTTGTCTTGTGTAGTGGTAGTAGGTTCTGAAGCAGAGCAGAAGTCAGAATATCCCATGGAGGGTCATCTTGTGCGCCTCGACCTCCGTATAAGGGACCAGGACAAGGCAGCATTGCCAGTGCTCGGCTTCATCACAAAAAACAAGTTACAGAGCAAGAATGTATCAAGGAGCGCTCTGCCACACCTACTGCAACCTTTACATGCTCCCAAGTGTGTGCTGATCTCCCTGACAGTTTATGTGAAGGCCAGGGATATCACGCTGAACTTCAACAAGGTGCATCGTATGACTGTTGTATCCAAGATTACACCCACCCTGCGCCAGATGGAAGCCGTCGCAGACCTGGAGCAGTCTCCCTATGGGCAGGTTGTGGTTCGCCCCAACGCCCACTACTTTTGGCATCGGACGGGAGGTGCCATGAGCAAAGACCTGCTGCTGAACTACAACAGCCAACAACAAGAAGTGGTGTCTTCAGCAGTGCATGCCATGAATATGCCAGGCAGCGACATCAGAGTCGTCATCTTGCATGGCCCTCCGGGCACTGGCAAGACCCACACTCTAATCGGTATCGTCATGGGCTGTCTTTTTGGCTCTTCCCATCGGTCAATCCTCATAGTCGCTCCTTCAAATGCTGCTGTGGATGAGATTGGCCGGAGGCTTCTTGCCCAGAGAGCTGTGCAGTCAAGTCAGAAAGTGCCAGGAGGCCAGGTGCTGAAACTAGTCAGGGTGGGACAGGACAAAATGATTCATCCCGAAGTTCGTGGCATCGTGCTGGAGGAGCTTGTGAAGAAAAACATCCAGTCCGAGAAGCGGGATCGGCTGCAGGATTACGACCGGGAGATTGAGTCCAGAAGGAAGCGATTGGCTCGTCTCGGGAGGGATATGACCAAGTCGGGCGATGTGAAGCTTCTTCACCGCTTGGAGTTTGAAACAAAGCACTTGGAGGCAGACATCCTGCGGCTATCGGAAGAGAAGAGGAAGTGCCTCCAAGGTTTTTCACGGCAGTCCTACGAAATGAAGCTCAAAATACTGCGTAAGGCCAATGTGGTTCTCTCGACTTTGAACAGCTGTCGCAGCCGCCTCTTGGAGGAAGCCTTTGGCCGTGCGAGCCCTCAGTGCTTTTCCAGTGTCATAGTGGATGAAGCAACACAGTGTACTGAGGTGGAGACCCTTCTGTGCCTTCAGTACCGCACCAGCCGGCTCGTCCTGATTGGGGACCCTCTTCAACTCCCAGCAACTGTGTTGTCACGCCATGCCGTGCAGCTCAACTTCCAGGAGTCTCTGTTCGAGCGTTTCTACAAGTGCCTTGAGAACGAGAAGAAAGGTGGTGCCCAAGCCGTGTTTATGCTCACCGATCAGCGGCGGATGCACTCGGAGATCTGCAGTTTTCCTTCGCGCTACTTCTACGATGGGAAGCTGCAGCCAGTGGCAGGTTTGGATGCCTCCTACGCATCTTTTCCGCTCAATCCCTACCTTGTGTTCAATGTCCTGGGAAGCCCAGAGATGAATGATGGTAGCTCAGCGTCCATGGCGAATCACGGGGAAGCAGAGTTTGTGGTACGCCTCTGCCACACTGTCAGGAAGGTTGTGGGTCCTGGCACAAGCATCTGTGTCATCACATTCTACCGGGCACAGAAGACCACCATCAGTGAGCTTTTGCAGCGGGACTCTTCTTTCGAGGTGAACACAGTCGACGGCTTCCAGGGCCAGGAAAGGGATGTCGTTGTGCTCTCGTGCGTCCGTGCGAGCCATCCCATGGGCTACATTGGGTTCGTCGCTGATGCCAGGCGCCTTAATGTTTCCATCACCAGGGCCAGGAAGGCACTGTTCATCTGTGGACACTTGGACACTCTTAAAGACAGCCTGGAGTGGAGTGCCCTCATTAAGGACGCTAGAAATCGTGACAGGGTCCGGAATGTCTCTGCCGACTGCTCTTCTCGGGAGCTGGGACAGTTTATCGCGAAGTGACAAGTCAGATTTCGACGTCTTCATGGTTTTGTTATGACTGTAAGGACTGAACACCTTGTGCAACGTGCATGCTCTCTCTGCCCGGTGCCATTTTTAGCTTGTGCACATTGTGAAGTAACCCAAGTTCTAGTTTGTTTTGCCAAAGTTGTGGGCTTCTTTTATATTGTCTACTGTACTCACGGTCACATCAACAAAAAAAGTTGTCAAATGAAGAAACAGTGCTTTTGGGTGTTTGGAACATGTATGTCTCGATAAAATACCAGAAATATAATTTAAGATGTACCTAGATATATTTTAGTTCAACACGCGAAGGGGGAAATTGGTAGGGTTGTGCGAATAATGGTTTGAGTCGAATAGCGCAGCGTCACTCCTAGCTTTTGCACTGTTTAAAGAATGGGCCATCTTGGCTTTCCCTTACATTGTCGAGGCTATGGATGTTGCAGTGCTATTTGATTCGAACCACTATTCACACAAACCTAGAAATTGGTAATGTTCCGCGAGGTACCATACCGATTTTTACTACAGTTCTTCAAGTGAATACAAGTATAGTATCTCGGTATCGGTCGTACAGCTTTTAGATTTTATTTGAAACTCCGTGGAGGTGAACGTGCCAATTTTTGTTTACCATGCACCATACAATAGACCGATCTCAGCAGCCAGTTTGACTACGCCACCGCTGCCGCAATGCATCGAGGGAACTTTAGTCTTTTTGCACGTGCGACAACCTCGCTGGAGCTCTTCGCGTGTAGAGCACAAGAAGGCACGAGCCCTCGCGTGCGCGACCGTCTGCCTCCTGTGAACTAAAGTTATGGCGGCTTTACGCATGCTCCCAACGCTTAGTGAGATCGATCTATACTCCGTCACCTGGTCCTTTCAATAGACCAGGCAGTGGTGCGTGTATATTACAGCTGGAAAGACTAGTAAATTAAGCAAGTCATTATCAGTGCCTGTTTCATTTTGATCCTCTTGGTTTTTCAAAAGCAGTCTGTTTTGGACATTTCAGTATTCAGGTAATACTTTCCAGTTTGCTGGAATGCATTTGTAAATACTTGTGAGGTGTATGTAGCTCATGCCTTAAAAGTGCTCTTAGGTCCATTTGCCTAGTTTCTTCACAATGTTGTCTTTCATTCCAGTGTGTTGTGTGATTCTAGAAGTTGCCCTTATTTCTTGATGTGTTCCCTTGGCTGGCACAATATTAGCTTTCACTTTCTAGGTTGAGTGTGATACTTTTGTTTGCATGTAAAAAGTTCTGCATTGATGCAACTTGAAATAAAACTAGCGAAAGAATGTCGCCAGCAAGCACTCTTCGAAATGGTCCTCCTTTCTGTGATTCTTTTCGCAGAAAGCGGTCCACTTTCGAGCAGTCCACTTTCTTCAGCTCCCTCGGGTGCGGTGAGAGAATAGGGAGAGAACGAACGAAAGGACAGACATGACTTCCAACTGGCAACATTTATTTGAAGCGGGGAGAGGGATCCGCGTCTTAGCATCAAGGGTCACCAATTACAGAAAAGTGGCAGTTCTTGAACAACTAAGCTCTGACTTATATCCCTTCCCGAGCACACAGTCGTCTCCAACGCTGCTTCAAGGACCCATCATAGAGACTTGAAATGAGCAGTATAACCTCAACGCATCGAAACTGTCTCCTTGCATACGCACCAGTTTCCCCGAGTATCTTGGGGTCTCAAAACTTTGGGGGATTTTCTGCTCAGATTGTGCCATTGAGTTTCTTTGGCAGGTTGGAAGCGACGGCGCAGTGCAGATGCGATTCCAATTCTCAGAGTCTCCGGCAATGCTGCTTTCGGGAAGCGTTCTATGGTTGACCCTAGACGGCCTTCAGGGGTACACAAACAGTCTGTAACCTTGGCAAGCCATCGCAATACTAATACATCTCGTTTTTCACAGGGTATGAGAAGAAAAGAAAGCGGGCGGCGCAAAGAAGTTGAAAACCTCTGGTACGGGGCGGCTGGGTATTCTTCGAGCCAATGTCTTTTTTCATGGGACGAGGAAATTAGCGAAGCTACGAGCAGGCCAGCACATACGGTGTCACGACGTACCAAATCGCGATTTTTGTCTGTGGACCTTGTACCACGTCACCGTAATGTCAGATTCCTGCAATCTGCGCCTCATCCAGGGACACGTGGAGTGAAATGGCCAAGCCCATTTTCACGGATTTATGGCGGATGATAGACCTGAAATGCTTTTAGTTTGGCGGTGGTACCAGTAGCATCCGGATGCAGCTGTAGAATCCACCGAGGTATGGTGCCTGGAACATACCTCCGACTAATGTGTTTACCACTTCCCAAAAAGTGGTCCCTTGATTTCAGCCTGATGTCACAAAAGTGTCTTGCTGTGGCCGGCCGCAATCCTCGCAGCGTTGCAACAACAGTGGTGGGTGTGGGAGCAGTGGCGTAGCTATGCCATCCGGCATCCAGGGCCCTTAGGTCTTTCGTAGCCCCCCCCCCCCAATTCATACTCCCCGAGATATATCGCAACTAGTAAAGCGTGGGGGGGGGGGGTCATATGCCGCCAAGGGTGCCCTCCCTTCCCAACTCAGTCTCCGAGATCGCAACTAGTAATGCTGGGGGGGCAGATGCTGCCAAGGGTGGCTCGCACCCCCCACGTGACTGGGACGCCTGGTACCCAGGTCCTAGGGCTCCCCCCCTGTTACTACACCATTGTGTGGGAGGCGCATATTCTGCAGCAGGCTGCTCTCTATAGCGTTTCGCAATAGCTTGGCAAACTGTGGAGGCTGCGGTCCTCGCGACCCAATAAGGACGTTGGAGCAAGGCATGTGATAACTTTGTGTTATCACGTGCCTTGTGATCTCTGGTCGAGGCCACAGCCGTATGTGTAGAGAGTTTGCCCATTTGTTGGAAAGTATACACGTTTGCAAGTCCGGCTTCAGGGCGCTGCCATCTTGCTTGGCTGGGGTGCACTAGGACGAGTCATAATCCAATTACGAAGCCTTGCTAAGGCGGCGTAATCAGATTATGGCCGCGCCCAAGTGCGCACCCCACTAAGGAAGATGGCGGCACCCTGAGACCGGACTTGCAAACGTGTATAGGAGACAAATGAGGAGGTGCCATTGGCCGAAAGCAAGCTGGACGTGTTCCGGGCATCTTCACAAATTCCAATGTGGCCAAACAGAAGCCGGAAATAATACCCTGGTGGTGGTCGAGAGAAACAAACTTAATAAGTGCGTCGGAGTAACTCTCGGTGACTGAAAATATGGTGCACCTGATGTTTCAATCACGGTCATCCAAAATCATGCTGGAAGAGTGCGACTAGCGGAATGATAGACATAATTCGTACGCCAAGCACCGAGGGCCAGGAATCTGCCGTCCGGGCGGTCACACTCTGTCGGAGCAAAACAGAGTTGAGCAGCGCATTCGTCTCTTACATCTTTCTGCATGATCATGATCGAAACATCACGTGCACCCTATTTTTAGCCATGAAGGGTTACTATACTTCACTCTTGCGCACTTATTAAAACCATATACCAACATATACCTTTGATTAAAACAGTTTCTTGCTACCGTCGCTGGGGGATTCTTTTAGGCTTCTGGTTGGCCAAGAGAGCATGTCAAGCCCACTTTCTGCGTCTCGAGCACGCCCAGGCTCTGCCCGCGACTCCCAGTCCCCCTGACCAAACTCTCCAACTGGGCCTCGTTACCGCCAAAGCAACAGGGCCCTTCGCAACAAAAAGTAGTTCTGGGTAGGGGTGTCGCAAACTTTTGTCGAACCGGATTTTTCAGTTGAACTTTCGGGGTTCGACTGGGTCGAATCGGTTCGACAGACCTTCGAACATTTAACCAGATTCGACCGGTTCGACTTTGTGGACAGTGTGGCCAGACCTTGATACAAGCATGTCTAACTTTGGAGAATTTTTTTTTTTTATGCAAAGAGTTTTTTTTTATTTTGTGAACAGTTGCAATTAAAATAAGCCAATTCTAATCACTGAAGAAGTTAATAACTCTTTTTTTTTGTACTGTATTAACTGAATAGAACCAATCAGCGCTGCCCTTCATTCATCCCTTAGCCATCACCATCCAATCCAAAGCCAACTGGCCAGCCTGTCGCGCATGCGGACACGAGTTGAACCTCAATACAAGGTTCGTCGAATTTTCCACTAAAAGTTCGAAAAAGTCGAACCTCGGTCTGTTCACCACACCCCTAGTTCTAGGCTTCTTTTTTCTTTTAACGGCATTTAAACTCGCGCGATTTCACCCATAACGAGAAGATATAAAGAACAAATTATTACAACTTTATGAGAAATGACGCCACATCCGTATCCGCTCGATTTTTTTCACCTAGCACCGCCGTGGCCGTTGGCGATCGCCGTTTATTGCAGCCAACGTTACTACACTCGGTTGGGAAACTCCCATAGAGACAGCTTTGAAAAAGTGGCCCCAATCGGTCTCCGAGCACCGAGCTAATGATGAACACAACCCCACCATTTCTCCCGCAGCAGCCACTCGAGGAACTGCACGTGACTTCTATGTTGGCTTTAAAGGGATTGTCCGGTCAAATTTTGTATTCGAGAAAACAATTGAATATCATTGTTATTGCCTCGAGAAGCATCGTACGTGCAATATCCGAATTTTATATGCCCATCTGCGTGAGTAATTGAATTTATAGTGCTCATATCGCATTCTAGCGTAAACGTTGCTTTCGTTGGCAACATTGAAGCTCTGACGTCACAAAACACAAAGCGAGCATTTTTGTCTCGTTGTTTGCCTGCGAGTGAACGCTTCAGCGTACTTCGTTTTTGTTGTTGTGCTCGACTTGTTTCGTGGTTGGGTGAGATTTTTGTTGCGCGGTTGGGTGCCACAACCACCGGGCAGCACATGCGAGCCAAGACATGACGTTCCAGACTTTTCCGCGAGACGTGCAGTGACGAGCAAAGTGGATCGTCGTCGTGCGTAGGGACTGGTTTCCCGTCCAGATCGAGATCCTGCTCATGCAGCAATCATCTCACAGAAGAAAGCTACGAGCTGAGCTCTCAGCGGACAGAAGGCTTGTAAGCTGACGTGTGATGCTGTGCCAACGATATTAAACTACGTCCACCCACTCCTCGCCCAAATCGGATCAGTCAATTAGCCCGCCAGAATGTTTTAATTTAGGTCTGTTCGATTCGCCTTAACTGGCTGAACTAGTTCGGCAGTGCAGGAACAGGTGCATTCGACTCAACCGTAAGTTGCACGACCGCTGCACTGGTGCGTTCGATTCACCCCAGGTGGGATTTAGTGCGTTGGCACTCGCATGTCCCCGTAGCTGGGCATAATACTGCATGCTTTGTCCGCTGGTATCTATGGACGCCCACTAACGGGCCTGGGAAAAACTCCGAGAATCGGCATTTTTTGACGATTCTCGCTTCAACTTGACGCCAACGTTGGCCAAGACGTACGCTATCGTCAGGCCTTCGTCTTCGAGGTGACCGGTATACCGACCGCGCGCTGCCGCCAGTGACCCCCTACGCAAAATCATCCTGATGCCGCGAACCTATCGTCGAAATGCAAAGATTCGCTTTGAGGGGCATTTGCCGCTACCTCCTTGACATAACCGACTATAGTTCAGAACTTCCTGGCCAAATCGAACAGACCTTGATTATGCAGCGAAACCGAAACCAACAGCTTGGCCATCTCGAAATGATACCAGAAGTTGTATTTAGCACGCGTGCAGCCCGATATCTGTTTGACCCGCGTGTGAAAATGGAGCGTAGCTACGATTCACCACGCTCGTCCAAGTCAAGTGACGAGTCCGACATGCATTTGAACGGTTCGCCGTTTGCCTTCGACCCGCGGACGTCGCCTCTGAGGGAATGACCCGCAGCCTCATCACCGATCCAGTGGATCCGCCGAAATGTGTACCCAGATGCCGCTTCGTGTACCTAATAGCGAGTTCGTTTCACACGCACTGGCACCGTTCGAGTTCTCTCCCAGTATGCATCGCACTCACAGAGTGTTGCACGGAAAACTGGACTCAAACGAACTCGCCAAATGCACCGAGTGCAGAAGGCTGATGCTGCCGCCATCTATTTTGTAGAAAAGGTACCGACTTCAAACCGAAACTAGCGCCTTTCTGTTCGAACTTCGAGTGATGCGTGGGAATTCGAGAATACAGTCGGCTACCAACGTTTATCTACAAACGTTGGTCGCTGCAACCTGTAGTGTATAGTTGCGAAGACTTCAAGCAGCTAGGCTGCCGTAGAGATAATTACAGACGGCGTAAATTTCCGCAACCAGCTGTCTACAAAGCAGCTGGTCGCGATCTTTCAATTCTTATAA